GGCCAAAGTATTTAAAAAAACGTTAAATGGTTTTTTTAACGTTTGTACTATGTGTATTTTATCTTTTGGCTGTTCACCGCCCTGAGTCCTTCAGGAGTAGGGCGGTATATAAATTTAATAAATAATAATAATAATAAACCCTAAAAAATAAAAGAGGCTATAGTACAAAAGTTGACAGTCCTTTAACTACAATGAGGATGACAATAATTAAACTGCAATTTTGGCTACCTATCACTTCGTAAAATGGGGAAAAAAGGAAGAAAACCTTGTGATTTCTATGATCATTTCAAGTAGAATGTGATTACCAAAAGTCTATATGATATGTTAAAGGGGATTGGTTCAACTATTTGACATTCTAAGCTTTAAATACCAAGGCATTTAGTTAACACAGCGAAGTCAGTATTTTCATAATGCTACTTAATCAGCAATAAAGGAATGCTCCTGTGAGCCATCATCTTGGGTTAGGAGAAAAGTGGCATATGAAGTTATTATTAACTAACTGCCTATAGGGAGCTGCTTCTGTCTTTAATCAATGATCTCACTTCCTATCTACTTGCAAATTCTGACAGCCATAGAACTATTACACTCAATGCGGTTGCCAGAGATATTACATTTATGCAAGGAGTTGATATCTTATTCCCATCTGGATCTTGAAGTAGAAAGGATTGTTACAGTGAGACATTTTCCCCTTTGCCAAATCAGAAAAGCAAACCAAGAATGCAAATGACTAATCTGGCCAAAGATATTGCAATGTAATCCAATTTCCCCCACGTACGTGTGCATACACTCACACATACACGAAGTAATGTGCAATTGTTCTAGAGCCAGGAGAGAATGATCATGACAAGGGACTGATGTCAACATTCTGCCCAGCTCGCTTTGGATAGTGAGATGAGTGTCATATAAATTTAATTAATAAAAATAAATTCAACCCGAGATTACATTGCCACTAACCAGTATAAAAGGTAGGGATGCGGTGGCTCAGTGGCTAAGACACTGAGCTTGTCGATCAAAAGGTTGGCAGTTCAGCGGTTCGAATTCCTAGTGCCGCGTAACGGAGTGGGCTCCCATTATTTGTCCCAGCTTCTGCCAACCTAGCAGTTCGAAAGCATGTAAAAAATGCAAGCAGAAAAATAGGGACCGCCTTTGGTGGGAAGGTAACACGTTCCGTGCACCTTTGGTGTTTAGTCATGCTGGCCACATGACCACAGAGACGTCTTCAGACAGCACTGGCTCTTCGGCTTTGAAATGGATATGAGTACTGCCCTCTAGGGTCGGGAAAGACTAGCACATATGTGCAAAGGGAACCTTTACCTTTTAATCAGTACAAAACACAGATTTAGCATTTAGCCTCTGCTGTGAATTGGGTCCAATAAGATGAATTAGGTCCATCATAGCTATGGCAGCCCTGGACCTTTGAGGTGCTTCTGACTCTGAGTCAGAAAGAGCAGGTTGAAGTCCCCCAAAACCATCAGTCTAGGGAACTCCACTGTCAACTTGGTCACAGAGTCAAGGAATTCAGGCAGAAGCAGTAGTTCTATCCAAATGACATTTACTATGGTTAATCAAACTTTTGTTAACATCTGCATTATTTTTTAAAGCAATTGCAGGTCACTCTTCTTCCTTAAATCAAGAGGTTTATTTATTTAATTTTAAAGACTGTTCTGTGTTCATCTAGACTATTCAAGACCAAAAGCCCTTCTAAGGTAATATGCATGGCACACTTCAGAACAAACGAAGAATGAATGGGTCTAGCTTCTAGATGGTTTTTGTTTTTAAAATACCAACTTAAACCAATTTATAAAGACTCTCCTAATAAATCACCTGCATTTTGTCAAATACTTTATCTTTATTTAAACATAGCCTGGGGGGGGAAAAATCAGCTGTCCTTGGATTTGTAAGCTACTGACAGGAGAAGTCAAACTATTCAGACAGTAACAAAGTACTTAAGGTAAGCATGTAGGTGAGTTTCTTCCCAATGCTCAGAAAGTGTATTTTCTGCAGTCCTTCCCTTACAGTGACCAATCAATAACTGCCTCATTATGGTGCATGGCAAGATGATGGGTGAAGATGACTTCTAGCTTTCCTAAAGAAGTTTGTGACTTTTAGCCAAAAGAGCTGCTTTCAATGCAAATTATGAACAAAAATATGTTTACCACAAAAAGAAAGTTTGGATGTTGCTAATGATCACACAAATCAAGGAAAAACATATTTGGGCTTAATCACAAACCTCCCTTTTTAAAAAAACTAAGCACTGTTCCAGGGATGGGTTCTAAACATTTTTACTACCGGTTCGGTTGGTGTGGCTAGGTGGGGGGCGTGACTGATTGTGCGTGGACGTGATGTCACTCACGCATTCAGTCACATGACCCCCCCAAGCCACACTCACCGAAAAGATGGCTAAAATTTTTGGGACTTTTTGAAACTTTTTTTTGACACTCCGGCCCCATATCTAGGTCGGGACACACGGGGTGGCGTAGTCATCTCGGCTTTCCCTCCGTTGCGTTTCCTGGCCAAAAAGCGCCCCTTCTCGCCTCTGACAGGCCTTCCTTGTGATTGCAGCCGGAGCAACCCACTCTGCCAGCTCAGGGCAGTGGACTCAGCTGCAGCCCAGACGAGCCAAAAAACTGTGGGGAGCCTCCTGCGTGTTGCACCTCCTCCCAGCCTTCCCCCCGTGCCTCCGCACCATTTTCGGGCACCCAGTTTACTGGGCTGTCCCCATCCCTGTCGCGGCTCCAATGGTGGCGGCTTTGGGAGACGCTGGCGGCACGGAGGCGCAGGCAAAGGCTGGGAGGGGGATGCAACACACGGGAGGCTCCCCACAGTTCCTTAGCTCGTCTGGGCTGTAGCTGATTGAGGTGTTTTAGCAGCCATGAGCTGCGCTTTCCTCCAAGTCTCACAGAGAGAAGCACCTGTTTCCCTCTGCCGCCCACAGCGCTTAGAGGAAAGCACGGCTCATGGCTGCTACTGGGCTGCCCCAGTCCCTATCGCGGCTCCAACAGCGGCGTCTTTGGGAGATGCTGGTGGCACGGAGGCGCCGCGAAGGCTGGGAGGGGGATGCAACACGTGGAGGGCCAAGTCCGCTCCCCTTCACCTCCCCACACTTGTTTACCTGTCCCAGAGAGCTCAGGCTACGCCTCCCTCCTACCCAGCTGCCTTCCTTGCTGGCGTCGTTCCTGAGAGAACTCTTCTGTCCTCGGCTGTTGCAAAGAAGCGGCAGCTCTGGGTGCGTCACGCCCGCTTCGTTCTCTTTGAGAGCTGCTTTGCACCTTGTTGCAAAGCAGCTCTCAAAGAGAAAGAAGCGGGCATGGCTCACCCAGAGCTGCCGCTTCTTTGCAACAGCCGAGGACTTCTTCCACTTGGAGCTCCAAGCTGCGGGGAGTGGGTTGGGGGGGCGGCTGCAACGCTGGCAGCTTCGGTGGGCTCCTTCCCTCAGTGGTTTCTTTTCTTTTACCTCGTCTAGATGACTTTGTAATTAAAGGCTGCTCTGCGCTTTTTGATCTTTCTCTGGCGCGGAGAAAAGCGACCCTGTGTGAAGGGACTGAGCCTGCTGCTGAACTTGGAAGCTGAGAGGCTTCTTTTCTACCCAGCCACTGGCGCACAGTGCTGAAAAGACCTCCGGTAGCTGCCACCATTTTCGCGCATGCGCAGCTTTCACCGGCTGAAGGACTTTTTGGCACCCTGCGGCCAGGTGGCTGAGAGGCCTCTTTGCTCCAGTCAGCTTCGGGTGGGCGAGCAAGCAGCGACTGGGGAACCGGTTCGGGGGCGTGGCCTGGCTGCCATTACCAGCAGTTCAGAGAACTACTTTCTAAAGTTACTACCTATTCGGTAGAACCTGTCCAAACTGGGAGCAGACCACCACTGCACTGTTCCTTCCTTTCATTGTATGATTTTTTAAAAATATCTAACTGAATTGATGTAAAAATTGCACTTGATCTTTCTAAACTGTAGGAAGACCCTCAAAAGCATGCAAGCTCAGAAATCAAACAGTCTAATGTAGGATTTTTATTTTATTTTTTTTGCAATGTCCCTCAGCAGCCTATTCTAACTGTGGTGGGACCATTCAAACCAACTCCCTATGAGGAGGTACATCAGGTCTATCTCTTGTAGAACTCATAATATCATTTGAGAAACCTTCTGTTACATCAAGAGAGCAGAAGAATGGAAACTACTTCTATTATCTTATTCTCCTGCAAAGAAGATCTGATTAGTTTTAATTATTATGTTACATGGCCTGGAAGTCCCTTAGAAGACGGAGGGTCAAATTTAAATACTAAGAACAATTGCTCCATTCACAGAGAACATTGGAAGTTAACTTTCCTGTCGTTTGTTAAATGTTTGCCATATATAGCAAATGTCAGAAGAACCTGAATTAAGTAGATAGCTGAAAAAAAAATGATCAAAACATTGGTACAATAAATTTCATACTCTTCTACTCTATTTATTTCATGGTTTGTAATGTAAGAACCATATTGAAAAAGAGTATGTTAAAATATTATATATCTTTTTTCCCTAATTCTATCACTACATGCACATGCACTACATGCACATCTTCATTTATCATTTTCATCAGCAAGTAATGAACGTGCATTTGTCTAACAGCTCTTACACATCTCATCTATTTTTATACTAAAAAACCTGAAAGCTTCCAAGTTTATTTCAGCTTCTTGCTATATATGTTGGCCAAATGGGTCTCTGCAGATGACAAAATGTGTGTGAATGCTGCTCTTTAGCTGGATACTACCTCACAACCATTTTTGCTCTCATATTTCTTGTTCATTGCATTTGGTACTTTCTTTCTCACTTTATATGATAACATCCTATTACTAGTATATTATTTCGATCACATTTGTACACTACTCAGATAGTTATAAGAAAAAAGGGTGGTTCAGTAAAATTTTAATAAATGCATAAATAGTACACCACATACATTACCCTGAAGCTGTGTTGAAATTAATAAAAAAGGAATTTCAGAAAACTGACATAAAAAAAATTCTCACCTCAGCCTGAACAAAACAGCTTGCAGGAAGTTTAACACTGCGGTGAGTTCAGCTCCTCGGCAACCTGGCAACAACATACTAAACCCATCACTCATCAGCTTTTCTTCAGAAAGGTTCAGGTATAAGCTGCTTTCAAAAACTTCTTGGACTCCATCAACATATGTGGAAAGTAGCATCCAAAGGTTTTGTTTCTGCACGAGGTCGTTTCTTGCGACTAAGAATTCTTTTGCCTTTTCACAGAAAGCTGCTGAAAGTGGCTCAGCAAGCACTCTGATGTCCATGCTCTTGTCAATGTAGGTTAAGATGAAGGCAAAGTAGCCTTTCCAGATAAGAGCTTTCTGAGTAACACTGGTAGAAGTGGGACTGAGGAAGCGCAGAAGTTCCATCATGCGGCTAGCAACATCTTCTGTCTCTGCTAAGGCCGCCAACACCAGGAAAAGGTACAAGAAATTTTGAAGTCCAACTTCCGTTAGTTCACACATTCTTTTCTGGTGAAATTTCGAATAAATTCTGCATTATAAAAGAAAACCCCCACAATTTTTTTCCTTAACATTTGTTTTGAATCTATTTATTTCATTTATTTATTTATTTAAAGCATTTATATACCTGCCCATCTTCTAACCAACTCCTAATCAATTGTTCTTTGAATTGATGACTCCAGCTAGTCTCAGTTCCAAAGAATTCTTTGATGGAAAATGAGTGATGTTGAATGAATGCCTTTCTACTAAAAATGTATTACTGCATGCATATTTCTTCAACATTCCACTTTGTTTATACCAGTACATTCAGAATAAGGGGGGAAAAGCTTCACAGAGTAGAAAACTATAAGATGTGCCTGACAAGTGTGATGGAGCTAATGTAAATCACAAATGTCACATGAGAAAGAGGCACTGTTGAGGTTTGAAAGAAAAGTTTTACTACTATCTACCTTTCATCAAACAGAAGCTAATACATGAAATAATACATATGTGATGTCCTTCGGGGAGAAAGTGAAAATTGATTTGAACAAATCTAGTAAAACATTATTATCAACTAAAGTTTTTCCTCATGCATCATCAACTGAAGTTTTTTTCCTGTTTACACTGAACTTTTATACACTGATAAAATTTATGGTAGTCTTATACAATCCAGTCCTGTTAGGAGCAATTTGACTAAAATTTCCCATCATCTGTTGGGTCTAAAAATGAAGGAATATTCCAAACAAATCTTTAGAGCACAATTTGGAAAACTTTGATCTACACTTTTACCTGGATCTGAGAAGCACATTTAAGACTGAATGCATCATGAGAAAACAACCATAAAGCAAAAAACACCGTGGTTTCTATTGACCCTTTTCCATATTGCAGCTCCATAAACTTCTGAAAAGTGTCTGGATCACCAATAGTGGATTATAGCATGTGGAAGTCAATAGGAAGAAGTTACAAAAAATTACACAGAAATGCCTTCTGTGACTGGAATTCTTAGCATACAAATTGTTTTCATTGATGTGTGAATACAACTTCTCTTCAAGTGATAATTTGGGGGGAAAAACACTGGGGTTTCTGAAAGCTAATATATAAGAAAGAATCATCTTACTACTGACTCACTGCTCTAACTCAAATAATCTACTTCAAATAAATATGACTGTCAGCATGAATCGCATATTCATCTGAAAATGAAAAAAAAAATAGAAACGTCATGAATTCCTGTTAATTACATATATTTTTAATATTAAAATAAAATCTGATTTTTCTGCAACCCTTTATTTTATGAATATTTCAGAATACTTTCTGAATATAAATCTTAAAAGAAGGATGCTTCCAAGATAAGACAAAAAGTATAAATAAAAAGGACATGATGGACAAAAAATCCTAGGTGAAAAACTATTAAGCTGCTCAGAATCATCTTATAAGGGAGATGGGCAGAATGAATGAATGAATGAATAAATAAATATTTATTTATTTATAAATACCTTCCTTTGATCTGCTTCCATGGATGAACACCATTAATCTTGCCTGCTTTCTTCATTATTTGTGCCAAAATGCGAAGAAAAAATTGGAAACTGTTGCAGGATATATACATGTCAGGTGTATGTATGTCATTGCAGTAACTCTTTATCAACTCATACATAGACAAGGGTGTCTTGCTAATATTTGCAAGACCTTTAAGACCAAACCAAGGAATGGTAAAGGGGTTGTTCTGCAAAAAAACAAAACAAAACAAAACAAAGTTTCATAACATGATACATGCTTTCACCTTTCTTCCATAAGTTATTTTATCATAACCAATCAGATGTCTAATAACTGTAGAAGTAAAGAGCTCTCTAGCTTTAGATCATAAATCAACTAATGAATACTAATTGGAGATCTGCTGCTCCTTTCTTCTCATCGCCACAACAGCAGAAAAATTTCATATCTTTGGGAAATTGGTCCACCCCTTCCTTCTGAATGTGTATTTATTTATTATATTTATTGAAAATATAATGTCATTTAAAAATACCATATTATTGATCTGAAATAATTTCTGTGGTACAGTGCATTGTACATTGAATGAATACATAAAAACGATCATTTGTTTTACAGAATCTGGAATGATTATTTGCTATATAATAATAAGATGTAACCATTTTAAGCTAAAGTATTTCAAATATTGTGAATTTGTATTGTTGTTGGAATAAAATAATGTAAAAATTAGTAATCCTACCACTTAACAAAAAGCACTGGATTACTTTTTTTTTAAAATAAAAACCTCAGTTAGATTTTTTAAAAAAGATATTTACTTACCAGATTTTTGCTGTAATGTTCCCAAACTATAGTGACAATAGTGAGATTTACATCCCAGATGTGGCTTAATGTCAAGCAACACTGAAGATGCATCCGTAATTGTTCTTCTAAAATTCCAGCCTAGCAGACAAGAAAATTAAGATATTATTAGTTTTTTGTTTAATTTATCAAGGTTTCTATTTTATACACACAATCTTGACCACAAGTCAAATCAGAAGGATTCATATTTAAGTACTTCGTTTTATAACTATTATTTCTGTCTTAAAAGGAAATTCTGTTAAAACAACACGCAAAATAGAAAAAGCAACCTGAGAAATGATGGTACAATCATTTATCTAGTATTATCAACTAATCTCCATGTATATTTTTTTGAATCATATAGTTATAAAAATATGGTATACTTAAAAGATAATTTGAAGTTTAATTCATGGTTAGGCTATATCTAAGCATCCTCCAGCAAAATTGTTTGGGACTAAAAATACTTCCTAATGCCTTGGATGAAGCATCATTGGAAGCAAAGGAAGAATTCTAACTTTTTAGCTACCATAAACAACATGATAGATTTGGTTCACTTATAGTGATTCATTATTGTAACTTTAAATGCCAGCATTCTATGAGCTATTGCATTAACACATTTGTCAGACAGCTAGGAATGTAGCCTTTTAAAGAACAGAAATAAAATATAATCCTTGGTCAATTGTACTGGAACTGGCCCACTGAAATTAATTTTTAAGGGCAAAACAGCCTATTGATTTAGGAACATTATTTCCCACCTTGGCAAAGGCCACTGATCATGATAAGTTAGAAATTATGGTTATAAAATACAACAGTAGGTTCAAAGAAAAATCTTTTTTTAAAGTTTGGCTTAATATAGAAGCACAACTTTTTTTTAAATATACAAATGTTTGCTTAACTTAAGAAAAAAACACTATTATTTCTTCTTTATATACAATCGTATATTATTTACATGAACAGGCCAAAACCAGGGCAGCATTTAAAAACATATGCTTATTTGTCATGAGTTCAATTCCAAGGAAACTTTCTACCCAATTCCAATATGTAGCTACATTTTTTATTCTTTAAATATCAGTCACAGCAAAATACAATAACTAAAGCTACTCTCTCTATCACCATTTTAGCGAAGAAAGACTAACTAAATTTCCTAAATTACATTTCAGAGTAAAATACTATATGCTATGAAATTAAATTTTACAGTAAAATATGAGGGAGAGGAGGGTTTAATAACCATTCCTATATTTTTCCAAAGACTACAGAAAAACATTATAAAACATTTTTGAGCTTATTTGAGTTTGAAAAGCAGTTTCATTCATCATATAAACAGTTAAAATTGTTGTTTTTCCCTAACCATAGTTATATTTTCATATTTTTTCTTCCAACCCTAATAATATATATAAACCAATCTTATGTTCATTGTCACAGAAGCAAGTTCCACTTAATTCAAAGAAACTATGAAACATGTATATAAAACTACACCTATCGCTTTAATTATAAGGTAGCAAAGCATTAATATGCAGTTTTGCTCATACTAAAATTGAATTGGTGCTAAAATTCTCACACAATTTTCTTCCTCTTTATTTTAGAGGGCTGATAGACCTTTTGAATTATTACAGGAAATGAAGCTGGACAATTATGAGGAAAGGGAACAAACTGGAACAACAACACAGTACAGTACAGTACAATTGTCTTCCTTAAACAGGAGTATTTCAGTAAAAAGAATCTTGACTAAATTTTGAATTCATTAATTTTAATTCATAATCTGACTTAGTTAAAGTCAAAAGGAAAACCAATCCTTTTGCTTGACTATGTGATTTCAGATACACAAAACAACTCAAAACAAATTATTTATGTAATGGTTGATACTAATTTACCATTTTATATCATGCAACCAAGAACAAATTCACACAAAAAACCACATTAATATGTTCAGAATACTTAAAAGTATTTTTAAAAGGAGGTCACTTCTGACCTCTGGGCCACAAAGTATTGCATTAACAGCTCTGCAGAAAGAAAAATGATAAGGTATGAAATGAATGCTCAAAAGCTACAACCTTATCAGTAAGAGTTTGATTCAAGCCTGTAAGACAAATTGCTCAGCAAGTCAAGTCACCTTCCTGCTGTGATGAGGATATAGCTGAATTTTCAATGCAATAGACTATCTCCCTTATCACGTCTCTCAACTTGATACCCTCAGATGCAGTATACATTTTCTAAGCTTCCTGTTCTTATTTGGAATATATCTTGTCAAAGGAGCCAAGTAACACGTCCAGGATAATTATCTCTATCATGCACTTTATCTGACAATTTATCTTCAAAAAAATAACCATTTAAGAGAATATTCTTCTAACAAGAAGGAAACTATGTAGAACCTTAGCTTAGAAGTTCAACTAGAATGATCATGCTACAAAATTAATTTCAGAAAGCAATTGAATGAATAAGATACGTTAAACCCCTCGTCCCTATATTTTGAAGTAGCCATCATCAAACTTGCAAGTTATTATTAAAATATTTACTTGATTGTTGACTGATTGTTTCAGCAGATCTTCAACGTAAGGCCAGTTGGATTCTACTGGTTTCTAAATGGAAAATAGTTGGAGAGAGTTAATTTATAAATAATATTAATAACAATTACTCTGTAGAAACCTATACATAAGCAACTCATACAGGTAGTCCCTGACTTATGACCACAGTGGAGTCCAAAATTTCTGTTTCTAAGCAAGACAAGTGAATTTTGCCCCATTTTACAACTTTTTTTGCCACAATTAAGTGAATGCAATTGTTAAGTTAGTAACATGATTGTTAAGTGAATCTAGCTGTTCCATTGACTTGTCAGAAGATTGCAAAAGATGACCCCAAGACACTGTAACCATCATAAATATCAGTCAATTGCCAAGTGTCTGAATTTTGATCATGTGATCATGGGGATGCTGTAAAGGTCGCAAGAGCCAAAAAGGGCCATAAGTCACTTCCCCCCCCCCCCCGGTGTTGTTGTAACTTCAAATGGTCATTAAGTGAACTGTTCTAACTGAAGGACTACCTGTACTGAAGTCAGTGATCTGTCAGTTAATCAACAGGATTGTAGCCTAAATAAACTATGTAGAGGTTACATTGCTGACCTGGGAAAAAAGTGAGTAAAAGCACATAAGGACAGAGCTGTATGAAGATATGCAGGTTTTACAGAAAGAAAATAGGGAGATGTCCCTCTTTCATAAAAGTAGCACCTGGATCACTCAGTGAAGCTGAATGGTGGAAGTTTCAGCTCTGAAAGAAATACTATTTCATAAAGGGTATAAAAAAAAAAGTATCAAATTTACTATAAATAAAGCAACCGATTTTATGATCTTTGTGGGGGTTGTTAAGTGAACCCACTGTTCGCTATGGCATGGTTTGGCCAACACCATCATAAAACACAGTCATGTGACTGCGGGGGGGGGGGGGGGAAGAAGTGCTGGAACTTCAGAACCAGGTCTTAAATCCCCTTTTGCAGGTAGGCTGCAACCTTGAATGTTTATTAAGCAACCATTTGTAAATTGAGGATCATATGCAGATAAATTCATGAAGGTTTGTTAAATGGTATTAGTCATAATGCCTCTCCTGTATCACTGGCAATATCTGCTACTGAGAAATACACTCTACGACTAATGAATTTTCCGTATGTCCATGGTTAGCTATAATAGTCACAGATGGATAGACCAACTAAAGCCTGGGACTCATCCAACATGTTTCTTCTCATGAGTGTCTCTATGACAGAGATGTCAAACTCAAGGCCTGGGGGCCAGATCCGGTCTGCGGGGTGCTTAGATCTGGCCCGCAGGGTCGCCCTGGAAACCAAAAAGGACTGGCCCATGATGCCTCTGTTAGTGAAAATGGAGCTCACAAGGGCCGTAGGCAGCCCTCCCGAGCTCCGTTTTCGCTCGCAGAGGGTTGCAGGATGCTATCGTTGCCGAAAATGGAGCTTAGGAACCCGTTTTTGCTGGCAGAGCACTCGGGTTGCCACAAACGCCCCCGACATGAGTGACGTTGAGCTGGCCATGCCCACCTTGGCCAAGCCTACCCTGGCCCCCCAAGTTCAAACACAACCCTGATGCGGCCTCAATGAAATTTAATTTGATATCCCTGACTTAAGACAAGTAAGTGAAACAGTGAAAGGCTATCTTCTTTTTCACTGTTTTTAAAATTAGTACCTAAAAATTTCTTTCTATCCTGTTGTTAAATTAGTACAAAAATTAGTATTAATTTAATACTGATTAGAATTTCTGAGCCTCACAAAGACCAAATTCCTTTTGTTCTTGTTAAAATAAAATATTTCATATCACTTTTTACCTGGAAGAATGCATAAATATAGATAATTTAAATTATCCTTTAGGTTCTAAATTCAATGTGTCTACTATGCTATATATATGCTATTTAAAGGATCAAGAATGCAGCTAATTTCAGTGGATTTAATATGAATCACAACTAGCAGTTCATTCATTTAGATATTTTTCTAAAGATCATAGCCAGCATGTGTTATAAGCAGGGTGGATAAAAATCAATGATTTTTTTTTAAAAAATCAAAAAAATTGGATTTTTTTGATTTAAATCAGATTTTTTTTATTTTTATTGAATTTATTTTAATAAAAAACTTTTGGGGTAAAAATCTATCGTAAGATAGTTTTCTATCTAAGATACATAAATAATTTAGTTTATTCAGCAGGAAATGGAGCTTAGTTATGTAGCACAAGGCTGTATATTCTGCAACACTGGGACTATCGATGAGTCAACAGCGGATCAAAGGAGTAGCAGAGATGACATTTGCTCTTTAAAATTATGATTTAAATCGAGTCAATTTAAATCGAGTCTTTTTACTAGTGATTTAAATCATGATTTAAATCGACTCGATTTAAATCAAGTCCACCCTGGTTATAAGTTAGTTTTCCTGAAATTCTTAATTAACAAGTGATGTTAATGAAATCTATGACAAGATCTAGAAATGATTACTCCCTTCTCTAATTTGGTCTATGTCAATGAAGAATAAAGAATTAAGGTTGTCTATTTACATAAATCAAGTTTATAAACACAGTTCAAAAGGTCTTCAAGTCTTGAACTAAAAATCCCCAACAGTGAGGAAATGACAACCATTTTCTATCTTTAATAAAAAGTGTTTTGCCTTTGAAATATAGGTTTTCATAAAGCATTGCAAAATATTCACTCCCTTAGTATATCTGTCATTTCTGCCTAAGGAAAACATTTGTGATACCATCTGCTAAACAAACACACATGTAGTTCTGAGCTAATAGCATGCAATATGATTTTGCATTCATTTGTCATGTTACTTAAAAATACAACTTGAGTTGCAACTTTAAGTATATAGGCAACATTTCTTTTTAACTCTATGCAAAAAGAATCTAGTTTCTTCTTCTGGTTCACTTGTTGAGTTGCTAAGCTGCTCAGCTGGAAAGCACTCTTCGCTTATCTTAGAAAGTATTTTAAACTATTCAAAGGTAAGAATATTTAGCTCAAAGTCATTCGAACTATATTTGGTAGCCTTGAGCAGCATTAAAATTGACCCCTGCAATGTTCAAAAGTTGTAATATTTCTAATGCTATTTGGTTTTTGAAATTTATGAATATAGCCTTTAAGAATATGATAATGCAGATTCTTTGGTTGTTAAGAAACACTTAAGATCTGTGTTTTACAAATTTTTAAAGTTAGATATTTTGTTAGAGAAATTTGACACTTTCCAATTTTAATCCAACCACTAAATATACATAAACATTGATGGATATATCAAGGTTGACTATAAAAATGGTAGCAAACACATCTCTATTAAGCATTAAGCCAAAACCAAATAAATTACAGTATATAATGGAATACTACAAGTCATATACTTTTGATGCTGCACAATCTTTTCTAAATTTGTTTTTAATATATGTTTAGTTATGAATGTCAAATATACTTAAATGTTTTTTTAAAATGAAATCATGTGAGTATGTGTATCAAATCTAGTCTGTTATGGTATCACAGTATTCTTTTTAATAATTTGAATCTTTAAGATTCAACTATAGATTTCCAAAACAGACAATCTGAAAGATATAAAATAATTATTTTAAAATATGACACAGGAAATTGCAGATCTACCATAAATTAATTAAAGGTAAGGCAATTTAGGCTGGTAGTATATGTTTCTTCTATATCTTGATCACTTTAACTTATAGTTAAACATAACTATTATTTAATGAGAAATAGCAAACGTATATATCTTAAAACTAGTTATGACAAAACAATATAACACTTCAAAATATTTAGCACTAGCAATTTCAATCAATCCCATGTTTTTCCATTTTTATTTATTAAGAGGAAGCAAATCTAGAAATCAAGTCAATTACTGTATGCTTTTCAGTGAAGAGAAATTCAAAAATGTTTGCCCAAATGGTAATCTCCAAGAAATTTGAAATTCTTATTAAGAAAGAAGAAAAATGTATGGCTTTGATTTATTAATATTGTTCCAATCACACAAAATGTTGAGAGTTCTTCAAACTTCTAGATCCGTGATGGCAAATCTATGGCATGCATGCCAGAAGTGGCATGAAGAGCCATCTCTCCAGGCACGCGAGCCATCGCCTGTTGTTCTTCTGGGTTCCGGCATGCCAGTCAGCTGCTCTTCCGGTTTCTGGTATGTGCGTGCACTCCCATTTCCGCACTCAATGCGAAAAGGTTCGGCAACACTGTTCTAAATTATTGATCCAAACAAGCAATTGGGTTATACTTGGCTGAAAACAACTTGGTTCTATCTGAAAGGATGAGCAGAAAGCTACAGAATTATCAGGCATGGAAAGCTTATAATAAGATCCAGGGACGTCTATGGCGGGAGGGCAGGACAGAACTAAACAGACATTGCCCTACGAGATCTACCTCTTTCAGAGCTTTAGTTGCTTCGACAGAAGCCTGTGAATACCCCTACTCAAAGCTGGATCAGAGTCCTGGCCTGCTTTGAACAATGCTAGGTTTGGAAACTAATAACAAAGCGAGTTTTTTGGGAAAGGAATAAGACAAACAAGAAAAAGAGCTCTGGTCGCTCAGCAGACTAATTAACATCCACTTACAGCTGCTGCCTGCAATTACTGCAAGTTCAAATCTCACCAGGCTCAAGGTTGACTCAGCCTTCCATCCTTTCTAAGGTAGGTAAAATGAGGACCCAGATTATAGGGGCAATAAGATGACTTTGTATAAATATACAAAAAAGTATGAAGGCTATTGCTTAACGCATTGTAAGTCGCCCTGAGTCTCTGGAGAAGGGCGGCATATAAATCAAATAAAAAAAAAAAAAGACAAGAGTTGTGTTTGTCATAATGTTGAGCTTTTCACTTCTGATAATTTAGTGGTTGCTGTAGTCTTTACTGCTTGCAGAAGCCAAGCTGAAGCAACCAGACTATAAAAATTAGTATGCATGTTCTCAGTAAGGCTGATTATTTAGTAATTTTGGTTTCCATTTTTTTTTATTAATTTTCAAAACTTATTAATATTAAGCACCCGGATTTCATTATGGTGTTCAAGGTCAGTGTAAATTCACAGCAATAATTTATCAGACATTAGGATTTCATAGACTGGGTTCATACAGAAACAAAGTGATGCTTTTATTAAAAGCAGCTCATTAAACAAATCACAATTGGCTGGGGTTATATGCCATTCTAAAACCAAGTCAAATTGTAGTATGGCTTAATCAGTTTCTCTGACCAGCTGAAAAATCCAAATAGAATGAAAACAATGCTTAAAGAATGATAACAAGTGGAAAATTTCCCAAATAGAATATGTATCTAAAAACTACAAGTCAACTGAATGAAGTCAAACCCTCAGTGCTTAACATACCGTATATATAAATACATATATAATTATAATACTGTTTTCTCTGGGGTAAGAAATAAGATGCAGAACAGAGAAAAGAAATAAATTCAAGAAAATAAAGGCTTTGGATTTCTTTTTTCTTTAAAATTTTTACATAGCTAAAATTACTTTACGCCCAATTAGTTCACTAGATATCTTCACAAATGTCTACCATTCAAACCATCCCTGCTTCCACCCCATTCATATTTTGGTACTTGGTGTTTTTTTTCCAAGATGTCATCAGCTCTACTGATCTCTCAGTTTTGCATTCAAATCACATTTACTATATTCAGCATCCATCCATTCTTGACCTTAGCTCTTCTTATTTTACCACTTAAATCCATCTGCATTCAGCTTACTTTTATATTTCTCCTGTCATGCCACTCACTTCGAGATAAGAAAGAGGACAGCAGCGTGTTGTTAAACCAGAACCATTTCTGCTTCTTTTGGTAAACATTTCTTGTTTCAGACCTTCTACCATTAGCATTGGCCCGTCTTAAAAAGTTCTCTTTCAAATACGTGAATTTATCGACTTGCACTAGTTTTTCACTACTTGTATATGACTTGTAAATGTTCACTCTCCTTTCCCTGTCAAGCACCACTACCTTGATCTTTGATACATTAATTTTCAAATCCATCCTCCTTGATGCATCGTATAGTCTAACACTCACAGCAAACCATTTGATTTCTCTGCTAATAATATGGCTTTATTTATATACAAAGGTAAATGAAGTTCACCTTCCCATCATACACTCCATCATCACAAGCATTCTCCGTACATTTCTCCACAAATACATTGAAGGGGGACATGGCACAGTCCTCCATTTGTTCTGAAACATCCTTTATCTACCACTCTTATTGCATTCAGCCACCAACCTTCAACAACATAATTGTGCAAAACATTCAAGACTACTTGATTCAAGACTACTCTTTATAGTACATTCCTTCTAAATCAACAACCATAACAATAAAATTTCTTTTTCATATTGTTATGCGCTCAGTAAGCTTAAAGAATAACAGGAATTTAACAATTAAAAGCACATTGTAACCTTTGACCGTTAATATTGTCTTGTTACTAATTTGGTGTCTTTCATTTCACTTTTTAAAGAGTATAGAAAGCATTTTTTTAACTCAAAGGTAGGCTAAGATTAAGATTCCTGAAGCTCAAAATTTAAGAAATTTATATGCCATTTTGTTCATTAAGTATTAAAACTTTTGGGGAAATTAAGGAAATATTAAAAACGCCTTACAAATATTCCCCATAGAAAAAGAACAAACTTACCTTTTCATCTGTATATCCATTCCGGTCAATATGATAAAGTGATGCCAGGTGGGTTATAATCCACCAACTGAAGCTCAGTGGATCCTTGCATGGAATTGATTCAAAGGCAGATACTGAATCAGTACCATTGTTTTTTTTGAATACTTTCTTCAGAATTTTATTTAGCCAGTTCCAAAATGACTGTAAAGAAAACCAACAGTTTTTAAAAGGAAACCTGCACACTTTGGCCATCTGCTTAGCTCTTGAGAATTTTTCCTATTGCTTTTTTGCTTCACCAGATAGCAGCTTACACAGGACAAATTTTGAGGCTGAAATAGAAAACAATCTGATCTTTTTCTTAGCTAACCTTTTAAACATACCTTTGGATATGCTTTCATTTATATATAGTTACTGTTAGCCAAATATTAGTTTTTCTATGTCAGGGGTGTCAAACTCAAGGCCTGTGGGCCAGAGCCGTCCCGCGGGGTGGTTAGATCTGGCCCATGGGGCCACCCTGGAAACACCGAAGAACCAGCTCGCTGTGCCTCTGCCAGTGAAAACAGACCACGGGAGGGCTGTGTGTGGCCCTCCTGGGCTCTGTTTTCGGCTGTGACGGCCTCCTCAGCCCTCCTGAGCTCCGTTTTCACTGGCAGAGAGCTGCAGGAGGCCGTCACAATTGAAAATGGAGCCTAGGAGGGCCACACACGGCCCTCACGAGCTCCGTTTTCACTGGCAGAGTGCTAGCAAAACAAAATACTAGCAAAAGTGGCATTTGATCACATGAGTGATGAGCTGGCCACACCTATCCAGGCCACGCCCACCTTGGTCCCCCGAGGCCTAACACAACCCTCAATGAAATCAAGTTTGACACTCCTGTTCTATGTAATTCTACTTTTGGTAATATATTTTTCTTAATGAACTCAGGTTCTGAATTGGACAAGAGTATATTAATTCTTTGACCTTCACTGTAAACTTAATATGATTTAGAGTTCCCATGAACGCAATCAAAATATACCATTAATATAAATGTATACCATTTTGGGGGCAATCTATGGAGAAAGGGCCATTTGACATAGGACTGTAACAAAGTAAGAGAGTAAAATCAAGTCTCTTGATTGTAAGAGGCAAAAAACCTGAATAAATAAAAGAATCAAATCAAGTTCAGCCACATCTCAATCAACGATTTCTGAAGAAACCTTTATATTTAAAATCCAAATTATGCAACTAAGGTAGGGATAGGCAATCTGGTGCTTGCCAGCTATTTTAGATATAAACTTCAGGTTGTAACTATATAGTTTAAGAGATTATATATCTTTAGATTATATAAAGAACAGGGAATATTTTCAGTATAATCAAGAGAAGGACAAACTAGATGTGGGCAATGATTTGCTATTATTTGGTGGAAATAAAGACAGATTTCAGGATTCTCCAAGATTGTGTTTTGTGATGTTTTGTGATTACTTATACTCAGGCAAATTGTTCAATTAAAAAAAATCAATTCTAGCAGGATTCTAGATTGATACACCCAACATTTGCTTTTATTCCTTATAGTAATGATCGTGGACCCACCAAAAGTAAGTAAAAGCAATAAATGACAGTAAAATAATATAACAATACAATACCTTGCTATCCTATTTAATATAATCAATAACCATTTCCAAATGTATGTAGGATCCAATCTGGGTCCATCACACTCTGTTAGAGAGAAGTTCCCTAATTATGGGCTCCAGCACGAATCTGAAAGCTCGGAAGGCTATTCAATCTTCTGTTGCTTGTATCTTATGATTTATATTGTTTATTTAGTATCCTAATATGATTTATGTTGATTGCTTATTTAGTATCCTATGACTATCACTAAGTGATGTATCTTATGATTTATGATGAATGTATTTTTATGACTATGATCATGATTTATCACTTATTGCTTGTATGTTCACTGAGATTTCTATTCTATTCTATTCTATTCTATTCTATTCTATTCTATTCTATTCTATTCTATTCTATTCTATTCTATTCCATTCCATTCCATTCCATTCCATTCCATTCCATTCCTCTGGTCCTGGTGACCGACCCAGATTGGATCCTGCAACATTATCCTGGGACACGTATATTCGCCTTCATTCCAAATGTATGTACTGTTAGTAAACCAGAAGTTCTATGACTTATAATGTAAATCAGTTTAGAATAGTGAAGCCCACAACACACATCATGAGAAGATAAGAGTTTCTGAAGAAGCTATAACTATTGTCTGGACATGCAGTATTAATTTATGACTGACCTCCCCAGGGCCAAATACCAGAAATTTTAACTATAAATTCTTAGTGGTGGAAAGAATCGCTTATTGTGCTATTGATTCTTTAAGCTACTACAGTGCTAATGATTCCCCCCAACTAAGTCTGAATGGATGGTTGCCTTAGTCCTGGTCTGATAATATCCAGCAATACCATGCTGAAAATTATTTGACCCTGCTGGTCAACTAACATAAACTTCTTTAAAGTTTACAGGGGGAAAAAAGCAACACCTTTGAAATAAGTTTGCCTATGGGGTGGATAAAACCGTTTGATATATTTGTCAAACTATGAATTTCTGCAGGTTTCCAACACAATCTGTTTCATGAAATGTATTCATGCTGGGAATGTAACAATTCCTACCTCTGTAAGAGATGCTTTATTTCTGTGGTCAAGCAGATGAATAAGCAGAACCCACAGCTCTTTTATACAGGTACAAGTATAGTGGTGAGTAATAAGAGCTTCAGAGAGCCTAACCTGCAACAAATAACATTTTAACTCAGAGAAGATAGAAGACATTTCTACATGAACAAACTTCAGAGATGGAGGAAGCAGTTGAAAAATATCACTGAAATACTTGAGTGTAAATATAAAAAGATTAAGCCATCCAGCAAACAGTATAAATCTTTCTTTCTTTCTTTCTTTCTTTCTTTCTTTCTTTCTTTCTTTCTTTCTTTCTTTCTTTAAAAAAGAAACTGCCACATCTTTGTATCCATGTGCTTGAAATCCAAATTTAAAGACTGTGCATTATCTTTGTGGTGTTATAATTTCATCGCCTACTGCAATTTTTCAGAAGTTACTCCCTTTAAGGAAGAAAATGGATAGGTGTGAGCTTACATGTGTGTGTTAGAGAAAAATAGAAAGAGACTTATCTAGATCTGTCAAAACCACAAGGAATTATTTATGTGCCTAATACTAAGAAAATGTTTAAGGAGTGTTCATCTCAATACGATTCATACACATTGATTGCTTCTTTATTGGTGAAAAATTGTTGAAACTGTCCTACTGTTAACACTTAGAAAAGGTAATTTTGGTGACTTTCTTCTTCCTGTTCCATTCTCAAAAACAATTTTTGGAAGAATGGCCTACTTAAAAATCACATTTAAATAATCTGGTTATATTTGAAATTTCAAGTGCCACATGGACCATTATTAAATAATGCATAAGCAAATTTGTTTAACATTCATATACATTTCGGAAAAATGCTTCTAAAACTAGTAGACTAAGTCTATGCCTTATCCTCTCTATATTTTCTTAGTATCCAGTTTGCCGAATTCAACAGAGCTTGTTCTTAAGTACTGTGGTTATTTAAAGTTACCTGTCAGATATGAAGGGCTACCATTCAGGATGGTTGACATTATAGTTAAAACCTGTTATACTCTATATATGGGTATAAAACCCATCATGGGTTTTAGAATAATTCAAATAAAAGGGATACAGAAAAAACAACTTCTTTTTCTACTCCCCACAGTATCAACATGAAAAAGAAAAAAATAAAGCCATAGACTGCATAAATAGTTCTTAAGAAATTTCTGCAGCATTACCTTTGTAAACTCTCTATTCCTGGTATGATAAAACTATGTTATTGCTAAATAAACCAATATTTTCAAATTATTCAACACTAATTTTTATGATAGAACCTATAAATGCACAAATTTAATGCCATACATGATGGAATAAAAACACTACATTGTTCCAAAGCAATGCAATATTTCCTGAATTGTTTAGTCTGCCATCTTTAATCAAATGAGTTATACCTTGATGTACCAGCAGGTGGTACTGTAGTCACATATAGCAACGGAATACCACTCCCCTTTTAAGATTTAAAAAGTTTCATTCCATTTTGCATTGCATTTGGAAAATAAATACTTACTTTTTACATGTCACGTAGATTTGCCCTTTATCCAATTCAAGACTAACCTATTTGATAGTTTAGAGTTAATTAGCTGAATAATTTATTTTGCACTTGGGAACTTTGGAAGGGAAAGGAAACAATGCCTAAGAATGATTTATCAAACAAACCTTTCTTTCTTTTTTTTTTTTTTTTGAAAAAATAGAGTACTAAAAAATGTGTGTATGTGTGTGTGTGTTTGTATGTGCGTGACGGCATGTCCCTTCCCACACATTTTATAACAAATGTACAACTAAAATTAGGAGATAAATGGATATAATAATTCTTGTAACCAGCTCTTTTGCTTCCTGTCACATTCTAAAGACTGTTGATCTCTCTAGAGCATTAGGGCCATAGGAAAACAGGAATATCGGGAGTTTTCCACTTGCCAAAGACCTTGCTCACTTTTAGAGTTCACAGACTTCATTTCTGGACAAAGGCATTTCTCAAGCTGTATTTTCATTTAACTACCTCACACAGGTGAATTAATAGAAGTAGCATCTAACCAAAAGCACTAAGATGAATTTATCTGGGAAATACTGTTTTAATATATATTAATAGATACATTTCTACTGTCTCAGAAATTTAAGCAATATTACCATAATATTGAATAAAATTGCAATACCTTTGAATACCTCTTAACTGACAAACTTATCAGATCATATAAGAGATTACCACAGTGATCTTCGAACAAACTGATATTGGTTAGATTTTCTCCGGTTAAATTTGTAAATCTGTGAGCATATATGGTTTGCCCTAGAAAATACAAATAAAATGAGAAAATCGAATTAATGAATGTAGAAACAGAAATATGTTTTCAGTGCAAAAAACAAACAACTGCAAACCAAACCTATAGTCATTCATTTTCTAAATTTATCATATAGAAAATCTCAACATTTGTATCATTTGATGTATAATTTGTGGGTGATCTTGGACCAGTCACTGTCTCTCAGCCCAACCCACCTCACAAGGTGGCGAACATACTTATAATACACCTCACATTGTTGTGGGGAAAATAAAATGTTCACCACTTTGAGTTAATTAAAAAATAATAAAAGGCTGTATAATAAATAAATAAATAAATGAAATAAAAAATTTGATGTCACTATCTTTGCAGCTGGATGAAAATGACCGGTGCTGGTTCAGTAACAGAGGCTTATATCCTGTTTTAGATATAGATACTTGTAGGGCAAAATATTTAATTGCAAACCATTTCCTCCCCGGTTCCCAAGAAAAGGTTTTTTTTAAATATTACATATCATACTTATCTATACAGGAAGCTTTACAGACTAAATTGGTCATGATGACATTAATGCTGATTCCATTTCTGTAGCTTCGTTAGTTTCCTTTAAGCATAATTAACTTTGGGGTCCAAAATTACTATTGCAACACATAGGAATTCCTTTACTCTACTTTCTCCTCCATCAGTGCATGCTTCAAATGGCCTCTGCGAGAATGCTATTTACATTTGGAAAGGAACAGGAATGCTTTTGGCTATTAATGTTCAGTTAGAACTGAAGAGAGGGAAAAGCATTATTGAGAAAGCACCACTGTATGCATGGGTAGGAAGGGAGCTTGGGAGATAGGAGAATTACAGTATTTTTTGGAGTATAAAACGCACCAGAGTATAAGACGCAGCTTAGTTTTTGGGAAGGAAAATAGGAAAAAAAAAATCTGCCTACCAGGTATTCATCTGGCTAGCGTCCTTAGTCTGGTCAGCTTCAGCACATTAGTTTGCTGGGTTTTTAATCCCCTGCTTGGGGATAAAAAACAGCTTCTAAAGCACAACTGATCTTTGGAGAGAGAAGCAATGAAAAAAGCAGGCAAACCATGGAGATCGCTTCACTCGCTAGCGCCTCGTTAGGGCTGAAAAAAAGCTTCACAGCTGAGAGTCGGAGGGAGCAGGCAAAGCACGGAAGATCGTTTCACTGAAAAAAAGCTTCTAAAGCACAGTTGAGAGTCGGAGGTAGATCGCTTCACTTGCTAGCACCTCGTTAGGGCTGAAAAAAAGCTTCGAAAAAGCTATATTCAGAGTATAAGACGCACCCAAATTTTCAGCCTCTGTTAGGACGGAAAAAAGTGCGTCTTATACTCCAAAAAATATGGTACATCTGAAGATGGTTTGAATTCTGCATTTCCCCAACATTGCTGTTTCTTAGATTGCTCTTTGTCCTCCTTTCTCTCTGACTACTGAAAGGAAACTCTAAAATTTAGAAGGGGGAATTAAAGCAATATTTGGAAGGAAGGCATAGCCACGTAAACAGCTCAGACCAAAAGCACTCCATGCTAGCTTTTATTGCAAACTCTAAATTCTTATTGTTAAATAATGTAGAAAGGAAGTAATCTAGAATTAAGCATTGTAAAACATAATAAAATGGATGTAAGGTTGAAAATACCTACGTTTTCTCCTTCAGCCTTCATGTGTTACATTAGCTCTCACAGTGAATCTGAACAAACTTTTCCTACTATAATGTGTGACCTTTAGTGTCTGCCCAATTCAGAATATAAATCCTCTCCCTATATTGTGCAACTCCAAGAACAAATATTTAGGGGTAAAGTAGTCTGAGTACACAGAACATATACTGAGTAAATGTGAATAGAGTGCCTTGTTGTCACTTAATTCATACCTTTTGATCAATTATTAAATAAACTTGTGGAAGTATAGGTATAGAGAAGTTAGGAATAAGGGGCATTCATCTATCATTCAGCAGCTAAGATTGACAGTACTCTACATCAGTGCTGAATGATGTCTGGTTACCACTGATCCCTTTAAAATGGAGTTGTCAATCAAGGAATTGTTTTTTGAAAAAAATCTGAGTATATCTTTACGCTTCATTGGCTAGAGTAACCAGGATCTCTCGGAATAGCCATTTTTGACCCCACAATGTATTTAGAATATGAGTAATTCTAAACATTGTATTTTTCTGGATACTCTAAGAGAACTTGCATGAATAATTTTAAAAATACTAATCACACGTGAGCACACATTACACTTACATGCCTTCAAAATATTTTTATATTTTTATAACTTCATTAATAAAGATAAAGATAACTGTTAAATTTAGAATTCTGCTATAACATTCAGATTGTTGAGTGTGCAATTTGTGTAAGGACCTTTTACCCTCTCAAAATACAATGAAAACAAAATGTATTTGTAAAGAATTAAGTTAGAAATTCCATCAAAATCAAAAGGACAGTGTTTATTGATTTGAAATCAATAGGACAAATAATAAATGGATAGATGCATTGATCTTTTAATTGATTTATAAGTGAAGTTTTGCTGTGAAATTATAATTAATTATATAATTATAATTGTGAAATTATATAAATCAGTTGAGTTATTCATTGATTTTAAAAAATGGTGCTGCAGATGAATCAATCACATTAAGGCTGTTTATAATTTATAATTTGAGGACTAAAAGATTATACTTAAAAGAAATGAAGTAGAAATAACCTATTTTAGGAATCCCCGAACTGGTTCCTTCAGAATATTGTCTGGATTTCAACATAATATCAGACTTCAGTCTCCATAATTCACTGCCATTTTTCTAATTTAGGATACCAAGAACTTAAGTTTATCATATTCTGGCAGGCATCAGGATGAGGAAGACTGATCTTCCCAATCACCAGATATCCACATAAGATGGTAATTTGATCTTTTCTGTTTTATTTAGCTTCCATTGTTAAAAACATGTTTGGACTCTTCCCCTAAATAGCAAGAAGTAACAGGAAGCATAATCTATTTCCATATTTCACTTTCTCTTTTATTTCTTGGTAAATTACTTGGAAATGTTTTTATTGCACCTCCGTGAATCTTAAAATTCATTTGTTACTAAATAGTCTTAACAACCATTGTGTAAGCTTAGGTTTTAATAGAGCTATGGGCAAATGAACAGCTGTAAAAATTGAAACTGTAAATAAATAAATGCAAGCATTTTAAATCCCAATTTTGCAAGCAAAAGTAAACAAACTCATCAAACTGTAATATACTTAAATGAGTGTTTCCCATTATATCTGAAAATTTGAATTTTTAATTTTTTTTATTAAAAAGTTTTCAAGACAGAAAACATTTTTACAAATCCCTCCCTCTACTCCCTCCCCCCCCCCCCCCCCCCCCCCTCCCCCCCGAACTTCCCAGAGCAAAATACAGGGTATAGCATTTATCTGTCATAAGCTAAACTAAACTAACAATCTATAAGTTCCCGCACACCTCCTTGAATTTTTAATTTTAATGTAAACTTGCTAAAACCTGGACAATGAAGTCCTGGTTTAAGAATCTTAATAGATCCGCCAGCTACCAACCAAAATCTCAGAGGTAATGGAAGTACCACATTTAAAAATATGAAGATTGATGTAAGAATCTCAGTATTTAGAGTGAGTCAAGGATGAAGATCCCTGATATCAGTAATGCAACCCACAACTTCTCCCCTTCCTTTCGTAGATTGCATCACTTTTCTTGTGTTTGTCCACCCTGCAAACTCTGTAGAGCAAACTCTGTAATCTGAGATAAGAGCCAGAACTCACTAATTAAAACAAAGCTTAATTTTCTCATTGAAAATTGTACAGTTAATTCTTGAAGTATGACTATTTGTTCACAGACTAAATTTACAGGGACCCTGAACGATTGGTGGTTATACCCAGTCCCTAAACGTACAGCCGTTGCAGCATCTCCAAAAATCAAAATGTGACCACTTGGCAGCCCTCCAGCATTTATGACCACAGGCACTTCCATCTACCTATCTCCCCCCACATCTGTTGGCCCTGCCACCCTTATACCCTCAGATAACCTTCACTGTCTTCTTCCTGCCACTGTTGAAATAACAACTAACCTCTTTCTTTAGGCAGCTGCTGACCGTGCCAGGCTTCTTCCCAAGGCCATGGTGACCTCTTGTCCAAATTGTGCATAGCCTATTGGAGAGGTTTTGGAAAGCAGATTGTGCTGGCCAGGTCAGCGGTGGCAGAGGCAGTGGAGTGTAAGGTGGCCAAAAGGGAAGCGATGGGGAGATGTAGGCTGTTGTGGTCTGCCATCAGCCTATGGAGCTGGCAGTGGAGTCGGACAGTGAGGAGGCTGGGGAGGACAATGGGCCAGTCCTGGAGTCAGGGGAAGGCCCGGATAAGGGCTCTGCATCTGAGGCAGAGATGGGGCCAGGGCCATCTGGGAGCGATGCGCGGACTCCAAAGGCGGATAGCAGAGAGGTAGAGGAACAAGAGGAGCCTGTTCCTAGTGCACGCATGCAAAGAGCTGCCAGAAGGCAAGAGCAGCTAAAGCAAAAAGGATGACTCGGGAGTAAGGCCAGGAGATGATTGGCCCCTCCCAGAAGGCTTAAAAGAGCAGCAATGGCTCTTGGGATCTTTGTAGGAAAGCAATGTTGCTACATTTGTTCTTGTTGGCGTCTCTTGCTTCTGAACTTTTGGCAAAGCAGGGTGCCAAAGTAGATAAAGGTGATAAGGCTGAAAGACTGTTTATGAAGAATTTGTTTTGGACTTAATTTGGACTAAGATGAGAATGAAGTAATTCTCAGCTGTTCTAATAAAATATGTTTATTTAGGACTGATTGTGTCTGGTAATAACTACTTGGGTCTAGGTTATAACATAGGCAGATGAGTGAGTTGAAAAGAAGGCAATACCTTATCTTAACACGGCTTGAGGCTGGGAGGGACCAAATCAGGAGTAGTTTGGATCAGGTAAGATCCTTGGCTAACAACTGCTGGGATCTGCACATTTCATAATGTTAAATACACTTCTTTATGAAGACTACAGAATATGAACTCTTCTTAAGACTATTGCTTTAGCAATTATTTGCATGTGTTTTATTTATCCTTCCAAATCCCAATGACAAATAACACAAAAGATATAAACAAAATGACTCACTTTGCATCTTTTCACCAAGAAGATGGAGGATTTCCAACACTGACCAGTGAATGTCTATGTACAGATGCAGCAAGTGCCATGATGGAGGAAATAACTACATTAAAAATATCCAAGAAAAATACTGCATGTTATATTTTAATTCACATATGCAGAATACACCGTGACATATAAAGATTTTAAAATGAACTGGCCTTCCATGTGTTGGAAACAGATTGATAATTAATGTAGTAGGGTACATGTAATATTAAAACGATGCCAAATATTGTTACTTTTGACCGAACTCAAAAGAGAAAAGACAATTCTTTAATAACAAAAACTATAAGGCCCTGTTATTACTACGATAGTGTAAATAGGTATCCAGTTATTTAAAAATTATAGCACCACTACAGGTTAGTCCTCATTTAGTAACAACTAGGACTAGCAAGTTTCCCTAAGTGAAACTTCAACTATGCTTACAATCTTACTTCTGTTTCCTTTGCTTTATAGACCTGTGAAGCTCATAAATATGAATGCTGGTTGCAAAATTACATTTTAAACACCATTATAACTGCAGTCACTAAACAAGGCAGTTGCTAAATGAGAACTCCCTGTATATGTAGTATATTTTTATCTCCTTTTTACCCCCAGGAATGTTTTTCATTTTTATCTCAGCATACATATAAACTAGAATATTTTGAATTTCCTATATATCCAATAGTAATGGTTTAATATACTACAAGACCATCTTGTTTTTGAAAACAATGATGGGCAATTCAACTCTTCTGAGTTCAGGGAAAGTGTGGGGATACAAAGTACTTTGGGTACTTTTATACAGGTCGAGTATACTGTCCTATGGAAGTAGGATTGTCCATCTTACTAGGCACAGAGAAACTTGTGAAAAATTTCCTAAAATAGTGGAGGAGAAGAAAACAAAGAGCAAACTGAACTTGGATTGGGACTTTGGGAATTGAATGAAAATAATGAGCAGAGACATTAACCCCCCCCAATCCACCCATTCCTAAAGACACATGTACTCTAGAAGGCAGACATCCTAATGCAGGGGTCTCCAACCTTGGCAAGTTTAAGACTTGTGGGCTTCAACTCCCAGAGTTCCTCAACCAGCTTTGCAAAGCTGGCTGAGGAACTTTGGGAGTTGAAGCCCACAAGCCTTAAACTTGCCAAGGTTGGAGACCCCTGTCCTAATGTACAGTATCTCACACACGTGCATATTAGAGACAAAATTTTCCCCAAATTCAGAATTAATGGGGAAGAAAGACCAGGACCTGTGTATGAAGTTCAACAGGCTAGATGAGAAACCTCCTGGGAGCTGGCCTACAAGTTAGAGATATTCCATATCTATTCCAAGACATAAGCCCTAGTAATATTATCTCTTACGTCATCACTTGATAATGGTGGTGACTTTGTGCCATATTTTATCACATTCCCCTGTGGCTTCTCATCAATGTCCCAACATTTACAAATAATATACTCTATATTTCTGTATGATCCTCATGTTTGATAATATTACTTATAAAGGAAAAAAAAAGTCAGACCACCTTTGATTGAGGCAGAATGGTATTTCCTTCTAGAATGCAAGCAGGGAGGTCATATAGGCGGCCAATATGCAGTGTCAAAGAATAGAGTTCTTCAACAATCAAGGAAGGGAGTTGTGCTTCTTGTTTCTCATATGGATGGAACAACTCATCTTCTGTTTCATGTGGCTCCAGATACCTGAAAAAATTCATGGAGACATAGTACCACACAACATAAAATATACAGAATGGATGAAACAGGACTTATGCTTGACATCTCACCTGAAGATGAAAACTTTCACATATTGCAGGAACTCAACACATTTTTGTCTCGTGTTATGCGCTTCTAAGTGACGGTTTGCAGCTTGACCTGAAATAAATTGGAAATTAAGGATGGACTCTTAAGGAGTTCATGCGCTACACAATTTTACTTGATGTTCATCTTAAGAGTAAACAACAATACATATTATCATTGCAATAGTGGTGAATATCTGTAGCTTGGGTATAAGACGAGGGTGAAGGTTTGTTCTCCGAGCTTCTGGGTTGGTTTCCGAACCTTTCATTACCAGGCTAGGTAACATCTTCAGCGGAGTTTAAGGAATGTCAGTGTTCTTCTGCTTATAAGGGCTTCAGGTGTGGGTGTGTCAATCACAAGATCCTCACCTGACACATCCACACCTGAAGCCCTTATAAACAGAAGAACACTGACATCCCCTAAACTCCACTGAAGATATTACCTAGCCTGGTAACAAAATATTCAGAAACCACCTCACAAGCTTGGAGAACAAACCTTCACCCTCACATATTATCCTAACTGTGTATTGGGGATCCCCAAATTCACTCCGAGTTGAATCATCTACACCAGTTTAACAAGAATAAGCCAATTCATAAATTAGAAGAATAAGAATAAGAATAATTTTATTTCTATACCGCCCTTCTCCCGAAGGACTCAGGGCGATGTACAGCCTATTAAAAACACAAGACAACATCAGTTAAAATAGTTTAAAATTATTAAATAAATTCGGCTCGATTTAAAACCCCGGAAATTTAAAACCCAATTTAAAATTGTTATATTGATAGACCAGCCTGGCAGAACAACAGGATCTTGAGTGCACAACGAAACACCCAGAGGTCGGAGATCTTACGTATTTCCGGGGGCAGTTCGTTCCACAGGGCTGGGGCTCCCACAGAGAAGGCCCTCCCCCTGGGTGTCGCCAGCCGACATAACACAATTAGGGTTTTTAACTTTGAATTGCGACCTCTTAGGATGCTGTGAACAAATTTGCATATTTTGAAGGGCTCGTGCGCCGAAGCTAGAAACCCACCCTGAACTTCTTAAAGAAGTGAACCCCATTCTGCCTAGACATACTGGCTGAGGTTTTTCCCTAGGGAAACGATATCTGGACTATTGTCCACCAGTCTAGGTTTTCCTAAACAAGAGTACAAATGGTTAAAAAAAAAAGAGAGAGTATCTCTCTTCTCTTAAGTGCTGAGGGAGAAGGAAAAATTTGGGGACATGGAGGGGTGGGGAAGATGTCAGTCAAGGCAATCATCCTTAGCAACAACTCCTGTCACTGGAAATTTTCACAGATCATCCCTGGGCTCCCTCTACATTCTGTGCAAAGAGTTCAAGTTTGGTCTCCCCTGTTCTTGCCCAAGGCTGCTTTTCCTTTCCCCAATACTCTCACTTGGCCAAAGTGGGGAGCCTGAACCCAAGCAGCCCACTTTCCCAAGGCAAGACAATTAAAATCCATATTATACATTGTGCAACTCCTGGAAAAGCTTTATAAGCCAGAAGCTGAAAAAGACAGAGGCACAGGGAAAATGGCTTCTTTACACATTTTCACATACCTCTTACATACATAAGAGCCTTGGTAGTACAGTGGTCTAAGGCACCCTGTTATTAAGGTGGTTATTAAGACCAGCGGCCTGCAATTACTGCAGGTTCGAATCTCGCCAAGGCTCAAGGTTGACTTAGCCTTCCATCCTTTCTAAGGTAGGTAAATTGAGGACCCAGTTGTGGGGGCAATAAGCTGACTTTGTATAAATATACAAAAGGATGAAGGCTATTGCTGAGCACATTGTAAGCCGCCCTGAGTCTCCGGAGAAGGGCGGCATATAAATCAAAAATTTTTTAAAAAAAAAAATACCTACAAAGTGGATCAAAGCAGGCATCAACTAGGAGACAAGAAGACACTGAGGTTAAGCCTTTCCTTCCAGGCTTTGGGAACCAATAAGGAAATGCCCTTTTTGTTTTTCTTCTTTTAGTGCCTAATATGAAAAGTTAAATAACCTAGCCTTTCCGCAATCTGGCAGTATCCAGTTTTGTTGGACTACAGTGCAGTTCAGTCATTCTGTGCCCAGAATTCCTCAATGGTGGGTCATGGGAAAGTTTGTATGCATGAGAGTATTACTATCCAACCAGATGGCACAGAAGGGAAAGGATGATGTATCTATCCATCCATCCACCCACCCATCCAGCCTTTATTACTTTTTAAGTAGCTCAAGGTGGTGAACATATATAATACTCTTTCCTCCTTCCTCCTCTATTGTAAAGTTACAATAATAACTTTAACTTAACTGAGGTGAATTGGGCTTAAAGAGTTACTGGTTCAGTCACCCAGCCAGTTTTTCACCCCCAAGCAGGACTAGAACTCACAATGTCCTGGTTTCTAGGCCAGTTCCTTAAACACTATATAACCTACACATACACATTAATTTTTCTCTGATGGTTGCGATGGAGCTGTTTAAATAAGCTTTTGTGTCAGGATTGGGGAGCCCATTGCCTACAGTTTCCTTTATCTTTCACTATTAGCCACATTGGTGGGAGACTAATGGGAATTTTAATTCAGCAACATCTTGAGCATCACAGCTTCTTAATCTCATATTCATTTCAGAGCCTATCAATGTTGTACGTATCTTTAAAGGCATTTATGGAGCTTCTGCTTTATGGCTGCCCACTCAGAATATGCTATGCGTTTTAAGGAACTGGCAACCTCTTTATCTATCAAGCAAAAAGTATAATTGTATTTAAATGACTAATATTTTGTTCACATTGTCCAATGTTGAAAACATGAAGTACCAAATCAGCTGTCAAATTTTCTGTTAGATTATTTGGATAACTGCACTGTTTTTAAGATTTTTGTTTTTTTAAAAAAATAGGGATGTGAAATTTGTTATGTACACCACATAGCATCAAGATGATAATATTTCTTTTGCTTTCCTTCCTCTCTTTCTGTCCCGGAAGAAACATTAAGGCATTATAACTCTCACACACACACATGTGGCAAATAATAAGCTAAAAACAGTGTAACTAAAAATATATCCAGAAAAATAATTTCTTAAAAACAACTCAAAATTCCTGGGTCAAAATGTGTCTCCCACATTTAAGTGTTGAGTGAAAAATAAATATGTATCCGATTATTTTGCTGGATTGCCAGAATCAGTATAGGATGCCAACTTTTTTATCATAATGGTCTAAGAATTCTTACAAGAACAATTACTGTGCAAGTGGTCCCCAACCTTTCTAGCTCCACGGACTGGCAGTGGCAGTGGGGGATGGTTTTGCGTGCGGAACCTAGATCCCATGCATGCGCAAATGAAGCTTCATGTGCTCACCTGCCACTTGCATGGCCCGGTTCTCAACAGGCCGCATCCGGGCGGTGGTCTGTGGACCAGGGGTTGGGGACCCCTGCCTTACCATATTAAATGTATATCCATATATATCTGTACATGTATGACTGTCTTGGATAGGCTCCAAGTATTTATCTTTGTGTACATACACACAAACACACACACAATTTTATTGTACAAACTCTTGTAAGGCACATGTAAATGAAAAATATTTTAAAATTTACCAAAGTCAGATGAACTTGACTGAACAAGGTTTTCTAATCTGTATATAAATTGCCTGTCAGAATTAAAAGAAAAAGATGTTATTGAAAATAAAAGTATATACCCAAATACTGTATTAAAACCATACATGTATCTCTACAGACATTCCATATGTTATGATCATAATATGATTCATGATGAATGTATTTATGATGACTATGACCATGATTTATCACTTATATCTTTTATATACACTGAGAGTTTATGCACCGAAGACAAATTCCTTGTGTGTCCAATCACACTTGGCCAATAAAGAATTCTAATATCCATATATACTGTACATACAGCACACGCATATGCACACGTATTATACTTGTTAGACTTTCTTTTAAAAAACATTTATCTCTGCAAATCATCCATGCCAACAAGCTTGCCAGCCTAGGTAAAGCATCTTTTCAGAGGAGGATGGATTCTTCAATTTTTACTAGGAGTTTCTTTTATAAACAGCTTTAACTTCCATTAAAGTTCAGTAACAATGCACTTCAATAATATAGTTAGTGAAAGTCCTCAGAACAAATACTCGGAACAAAATAGTGTAGGTTTTAAGAAATATGGAGCAATACAATAACCAACAATATATTACAGGAATAATAATACTAATACTAATACTACTACTAATAATAATGCTACTTGGAACATTTACATCTTAAGAAAGTACTTGGTTGATACCTAGGATGCTGGCAACAACCCGTATCAATCATTAGCACCAGTCATTTGTGATGCATTTTTGAATATTCAGTTAACTGAGTTTCATGTTTAATGAATTAAGTAAATAATAATAATAATAACAACAACAACAACAACCACTAGCACCAGTCAATGGTATTTGTGATGCATTTTTGAATGTTCAGTTGACTGAGTTTCATGTTTAATGAATAAAATAAATAATAATATCATACCTCAATAATCCAAAGAGAAATGTACAAGATTCAACTAAAGCAATTTCAGTAACCCATTGAAAATCAAATAATTCCACAATGTCCTTTTCATAATCAAGTGGAAAGGGATCCAGCCCCAGTAAATTCCTAAGAAACAAAGTTAATATTGTTTGTTTCCTTAAGCAACATCCATAGGCATTCTTTAACTGGGCACCCTCCAAGTAAGCTGGGACTTCATTTTACAACTAATTCCAATATTTGTCCCAACTGGAAGGTTGCACACATCTATTCAATTTGTATTTAATTAATATATCATAGCCTTGCTCATTGGTGACCAAGATAATTGTTATATGCCCCCTGGTGTATGTCTTTGTATTCACTCTATTTTAGAAGGCCCTTTAAAATCAAACTGTGTACTATATTAAAAAAATCTAATCGAAATGTAACTATTTATTTGCTGCTTGAATTACTTCATGTACCCCATAAATGATTAGCTTTGCAGTACTGTATAATCAAATTTCTTAACATGAAATGCATAGGGATCTCAGGAAGTAGATCTCCAGCTCAGGAAATCTTGATTTTTTTAGATCATGTCATATGTCTCACAGTATTCTTTCTGGATTGGTTATGGGAGATCACAATTCTACAGCCTAGCACACTGATTGCACAGTTGATAACTATATTTAAGGCATTTTGGTTATTTTCTGTATTTTATTGCAATTCTTATTTCCTGCTGTTGCATGATCACTTCTATACTTCAATAAACTAGCTTTCGGTAGTAATTCGTTTTTAAAAAAATCAGTCAAAAACAGCCCAACATAGGTAAGGTACACAAGTACAAATAAAAGTACTCATGTAATCCAGAAAAGCACAAACAACAACTGGCCTACCCCTCTGAAGACAACATATGAGTTGGGAAGGGGGAAAATATTGTACTCTCCTCCCCTTTCCTGCTAGCAGTGTTGTCTCAGGGCTTTCAGATACTGATACGAAAAATATCTAATCAAGTACCACCACTTTGTTAGTCCCATAGAGAAGGATCTCTTAATTTAGTTGCATGACATTACCTTGGAGGGGCATATGACATTGAAGGAACTGATGGTCAGCTAATTTGAAGAAGCAAAGGCTAAATGAGTGAGTGAACTCCAGCAGCTAATTGGCGGTGACCATGAGAAAGCTTAAGAGCACCTCATGGATCATCACAGATCTGTTTGAGAATCACTGGTATACAGGTAGTCCTCGACGTACGATCACAATTGAGTCCAATATTTCTGCCTCCTAAGTGAAACATTTGTTAAGTGAATTTTGCCCCATTTTAGGATCTTTCTTGCCATAGTTGTTAAGTGAATCACTGCAGTTATGAACATGGTGGTTAAGTGAATCTGGCTTCCCCATTGACTTTGTCCATCAGAAGGCCTCCAAAGGTGATCACATGAACCCAGGACATTGCAACTGTCATAAATATGAGTCAGTTGCCAAGTGTCCGAAATTGGTCCATGGGGATGTTGCAACAGTTGTAAGTATGAAAAACAGTCATAAGTCACTTTTTCCAGTGTGGTTGTAACTTTGAACAGTCACTAAATGAACTGTTGTAAGTCAAGGACTAACAGTAAAGGTTTTCAGTCTAGAGAACTCTGTCTAAGGCAGGGGTGTCAAACTGGCAGCCCGCGGGTCTGATGCATCCACCCACCCCAGGTCCGCAAAGGGAAAAAACATTGCAAAAACATACATCATGTGACAGTAATGTGACGCCACGAGTTTGACACCTGTGGTCTAAGGCATGATATATATATTCTACATTTCAATATACAAAGTGTTGTTGCTACAGAACTTTGTCCTCCTTATCATGAGATTATTAAATTTATATACTGCCCATCTCACTATAAAGCAACAGGAGGCATATATACAGAACAACCACATAAATTATCTACAGTATGGGTGTCAAACTCAAGGCCCGGTGGCTGGATCTGGTCCGCGGGGTGCTTAGATCTGGCCCATGGAGCCACCCTGGAAATAGCGAAGGACTGGCCCGTGGTGTCACTGCCAGCAAAAATGGAGCTCGGGAGGGCCACGTGCTCCATTTTCGCTGGCAGAGGATTGCAGGAGGCTGTCCTAGCTGAAAACAGAGCTCACAAGGGCCCCCCAAGCTCTGTTTTGCTTGCAGAGGGTTGCAGGAGGCCGTCCCAGATGAAAGCAAAGCTTGGGAGCCTGTTTTCACTGGCAGAGCGCTTGGGCCACCACAGGTATCCCCGACACGAGTGATATCAAGCTGGCCACGCCCACTCTGGCCATGCCCACTCCGCCCCCCCGAGGTCAAACACAACCCTGATGCGACCCTCAATGAAATCGAGTTTGACACCCCTGATCTACAGGAAAACTAATTCATGGCCTGAATGTTATAATTGTCTGAATCACTAGTACTAGACATAGAATCAGCATTATAAATATGTTCCTTATATAACATATAACCCAAACTAAGTAGAAGAAATATTGTAGAGATATTCCATAACAGCAATATAAAGAATTATCCCCAAGATCTATTCAAACAAAAGCCGAAAACACTAATGGGATCATAGTGGCACACAGCAGCTGTTAGAAGAAGCTAATTAAACATTCCAAATTCTCAGTTCTGAACATACTCACACACCAGGGATTTTAATACTATTCCAAGTAATTATGATACTGGAACATTCTTAGTAAAATCCAGCTTGTCTAATAGTATGTTCAAAATAAAAGTCCCATGAGCAGCATTTTAGGTTTTACATACCTCTTAAGAGAACCACTTGCTAAATAAGAATCAGGAGAAAAGCTTGTTCCTTCACTTTTAAGGTCTGAGACACAGGAGAAAGAAAGAATTTGGGAATAATGTCCTTCTATTTCCATTGCAGCCTCTAAGCTCTCAGTAAAGGAAAAAGGCATGGAGTGAGTGCTGGAGTCATCATCCATTGTTCACGCTTCTCCCTGGAAAAATAAAAACATGCAGCATACATTTTTCCACATGTTTATTTTTCTGAATTATCAGAACTAAATCTTACCTATTAAAGTAGAACGTGATAGATTTCCCACAAGGACTTAGAAATATGTCAAGGCACAATAAGTTTTCAAATCAGCTGAGCATCTGAGTACGTCAGAATCCCACAACTATCAACTAAATTCATTGTGTCAGCTCAAACATAACATTAAACTAGCTGCAGATTAATATTTACAGTTGTTTTCCAGATGTATTGCAGTAGAAATCTCATCATTCACAACCGATTATCAAGTTAGCTGGGTAATGGAGGTTATAGCACAACATACTGCATCTTGCTGGGGAAAACCAAATAAACAACAGTCATAATAATTATAAGATTGATGCTGAGCACTTATGTGTTTCCTTCTTTTCTTTTTACATAGCCATGAGACTATGAGCATTTATTTCCTTTTTAATTAATCAGTTGAGCATCAATTCACAGCGTTTACATATTTTGTCATGCCATTGAGCAGCTTTTGTTTGTCCTTTGAGATTAGTGTGATTTTTTATTCAGTTTATATCCTGACTTTCTGCCATAATGAATAAATTTAGAGCCTAGCCAATTTTACCTTAAATCAACTATGATTTAACACGTCAACTCTTAATGTTATGTATCAACTATATCAGCAAGTCCAACAAATGCAAGTTCTTTACAATGCCATAATTCAGTATTTATGTTATGTCACTGAGGTAGATATGACATTCTGAGGAGGAGCTGCTGGAATGTCTCCATTATCAGAGATTATGATAACACCTACAAAAAAGGTAGGCTTTCTCAGTGGTTCCTCAACTTGAGAAGTTCTCAATTAGTTCTGTCAGGTTCCACCTGACTGTCTTTTCTGTCCCTAAGAGACATTTCATTTTTCTCAAGTTTCTTCATTACAAATTTAATCTTGGCGATACATTTTCTTCTATTCTTGGGATTGTTACCTATTAATTTCTTATTCATTTTAAAAATTTACCGTCTATTTTTATTCTTTCTTGTCAATCTCTTGATTGACAGGAAATCTCAAATTACTTTAATACATGCATAAATAATAACTAGCTTGTCATGATTCTGCTTTTGTAAATTTGAACAACCGATAATAGTCCTATAAATATTTTCCGCTGGGGATGTACATATAGAAGTGGCATTATTTTTTAGGGAGATAGCAATTCTAAGTGAACTTGCAAATGGAATTAAAAGACAAATTTTCCACCAGTTCCATCTTATGATGATTTTCCACCATCGGTGTAAGTGAAATCTCAGCATGAAAAGGATAAGGGACAGTGGGGGTAGCCTTGCTTTTGTTTCGAGTGTCTGTTCATATTTCCTTTCTCAATTTATTTTAATCAGAACAAAAATCTTTACATAGGCTTCAAACTGATATACTCTTAACTAATGGGTCTCATTCTGGAATCTTTCCAGGCAGTGATTCTATGATACTGAAAAGCTGGGTATGCCTTTTAACAACTAAAAATTTCAGATTCATAGATGTAGCTGCCTACCTTCACTGACATAGGATTTCAGTTCAGCTGTCAGTTCAGAGCCCAAGAGCAAGACTACTACTATATCTACTAACAATGATTATTTGACAGGTCACACACATTTGTACTAGAGTGTCTCTGTACCAGAACAAAATACATATTTGATCAGAAAAGTATATTCATATCTTTGCTAATTCTTTTTGCTCCGTGACAAAAGCAACAAAATACCTCTAGATATTTTATTAAAACTATCCCCTTAAATTTAAATGTGTCTTAAATTGGGTAGATTGTAATATAATTCACAATTTGATACTGCTAACAGTGAACATTTATATGGGCTTTTATTATTTAAGAAAACAGAAAACTGTTAGGTTAAAAATGAAATCCATTTAAGTAACTTTAGATAGTGAGTGACTTTCAGTACTACTGTAACGCCCACTAAATTCCCAGTCAGCAAAGCTGTTCAAGAAAGTATGGGAAATGAAGTCCAAAGCAAGGTAATTTTTCTCCTTGTTTATATTCGGAGATTAATCTAAATTTCAGATTACAGACCCTATATTTTGAGCCATGATTCTATACAATATATCTATAAAGAAATACTCCTTACTCAATACAGAAATTCCCAGGAAATGTATTTTGGTGAAGTTTTTTCACATCTCATCCAAGAAGCTTCTTCAGCTTTGACTCCATTCCCCACCATCTGGTCAGAGCTGAAGAAGCTTCTTGGATGAGAAGTGAAAAAACGCCTTCAAAGAAAAACCAGAAAGTCCAATTGCCTCTTGAAAAAAAAACACCTTTGGGACAATCATCATAAATGTGAGTCAGTTGCCAACTGTCTGAATTTTGACCACATGTCCATTGGGATGCTGCAACGGTCTTAAGTGTGAAAAATGGTCATCAGTCACTCAGTCAGTGATATTGTAACTTTGAATGGTCACTAAATGAACTGTTGTAAAGTCAAGGACTAGTTGTACAGCTATATAGCTGTATATATGCATCTGTATGCATCTGTATGTATGTGTTTTCATATATATAAGGACTAGCTGTACAGCTATATAGCTAATATATATAGATAATAATCCCAGGTCTTCGCACTTTCCAACGTGCCCTGAAGACCTTTCTGTTTCAACAAGCAGGGCTAGCATAAACATCTAAATTCTATGCCAAGGTCTTAGTAGATACACCAAGTTGACTCAATTTATTATTTACTGTTTATATATATATATATATATATATATATATATATATATATATATACACACATATTATATATATTATATATATATAATATGTATATGAAATCTTAATCTGTTCACTGCACTGAGTCCTTCGGGAGAAGGGCGGTATAGAAATTCAATCAATCAATCAATCAATCAATCAAAGTATATGTATGTATCTGTATGAATGTATATATATGTACAGCTGCACAGGATTCCCACTCCCGTCACTGCTAGTCATTATTTCCTCATTTGAATCGGGAGCCACAGAATTTGTAGTCCATGACAATTGAAGGGCAAATAATACATACCCCACACTCCATAAAACAGCATACATGAATCGGGGCTGCAAATAATCGCTGGCGGAGGACAAATCCCCGAAACTCCGCTCTAAAAGCCGGGCATGTAAAACGAAAGTACCTGGGGCAAAAGCGCGCGCCCTCTAACCTGCTCACAGGCTAACGGGGCGGGGGAGTAGGTTGCACAACGCCGATCCTTCCCCACCATCCCACTTTCATCCGCGGAATAAATTGTAGCAGCATATCCCGCCGCCGCTCCGTAATTCCCGCGCGGAACCGGCTCCGCGCTACTGCGCGTGCTCAGAGGAAGAGGGGGCATTATGACGTATCACGTTCTCACTGGACAGAGGAGCTTTCCATTCAGAAGCTTTTTCCCTTTTTTTTCTCGCTTCGCGGGTGTCTTCCGCCTGTGGGAGTTTCCGAGTGGAGGCGGTCTCGCGGGTGACTTGCTGGGTTACTTTTGAAACCGAGTGGCTCCTTCCCTCCGCTGATCAGTAAATGCCGGGAGTTCCACGAAGAAGGGATTTCTCGGTTTTCACGCTAGAGAGAATTGCGGTCGGCTGGTGATCAGTTGTGATCCCAGCCGGTTTGATAAGTTGGTAAGAACGTGTGAATCCCAGCAGTTGGGTTAGTTTAGTTCACCGTTCGTTTATACCAGTGGTCTCCAAACTTGGCGGCTTTAAGACTTGTGGACTTCAACTCCTTGAAGTCCACAAGTCTTAAAGCCGCCAAGTTTGAAGACCTGATGTATACGAACACGGGGCTAAGTTTATCCAGCTTTACACTGTTCTCTCAAAGTGGAAATCATAGGTAGGGTTGATGCTTCCGACTACAGGCAGTCCTCGACTTAGGACCGCGGTTGAGCCCAGTATTTATGTTGCTAAGTGAGAAATCTGTGAAGTGGGCTTTGCCCCATTTTACGACTTTCCTTGCCACGTTTGTTAAGAGAATCGCTGCGGTTTTAAGATTAGTAACATGGTTTGTTAAGTGTTTTCCCCATTGAATTTGCTTTGTCAGGAGATAGCAAAATATGATCACATGACCCCAGGACACCACAACCGTCATAACTATGAACCAGTTGTCAAGCATTTGAATGCAAATCACGTGACCATGGGGATGCTGCAATGGTCATAAGTGTGAAAATGGTCATAAGTCACTTTTTTTCAGTCCTGTTGAATGGTCACTAAGTGAACTGTTTGTAAGTCAAGGACGACCTGTATGCATGCTGAGCTGACCCTAGTACAGGTTGTCCTCAATTTACAACAGTTCATTTAGTGACCATTCAAGTTTACAACGGCACTGAAAAAAAGTGACATGACTGTTTTTCACAGTTATAACCTGTGCAGCATTCCCATGATCATGTGATCAAAATTCAGATGCTTGGCAACTGGTTCATATTTATGACCGTTGCTGTGTCCCGGAGTCATGTGATCACCTTTTGCAAACTTCTGACAAGCAAGGTCAATGGGGACTCCAGATTCACTTAATAACCAAGTTTGCAAATTTATCAACTGCAGTGATTCACTTAACTGAGTCAAGAAAGGTAAAATGAGGCAAAATTCACTTTTTTTTTTTTTTTTTTAAATTTGATTTATATGCCGCCCTTCTCCGGAGACTCAGGGCGGCTTACAATGTGCTCAGCAATAGCCTTCATACTTTTGTATATTTATACAAAGTCAGCTTATTGCCCCCACAAACTGGGTCCTCATTTAACCTACCTTAGAAAGGATGGAAGGCTGAGTCAACCTTGAGCCTTGGAGAGATTCGAACCAGCAGTAAATTGCAGGCAGCTGTGTTAATAACAGGGTGCTTTAAACCACTGTAGTACCAAGGCTCTTACTTAATAAATGTCTCACTTAACAACAGAAATTTTGGGCTCAATTGTGGTGGTTCTGTAGAAAATTATGACATAAAGATGCCTAGCTGGCCATGGGTCCTGCAGTTGTACATACAACATAAGTCCATGCATTTGCTGATGAATATGGAGTGATTGAATTCCAGATACAGTGAGTGAGTTGACAAAGCATAACAACAGGTAATGAGGTTTGTTTGCTTTTTGCTTGGCTTGTATGAGTACAGCTGTTAATTTCAGCTATATATTGTCTCACGGTTTACAGCTTTCAGTGCTGTCTGTCTGTACAATACACTAGGCTAAAATATGATTGAGACTCAAATGTGGATGTGTGAAGCCAACTAGGAAAATTAGGTTGTGCAAACCCATGGTGAATATAGCAAATTAGGCCATGTAGGTTGAAGCAAATAGTGCACTGAACCTTTTTTGGTTATCCCTGCTTTCTTGAACCCAAACCTGATTTTCTTGAGTCCTTTGTCTTTTGGAATCCTAGGGTGCAAAGAAAAAAATATCTGCTGCAAACTACACGTGGAATCAGGAGGGACATCCGGTTAGTAAACACTCCACTCCATCCAGTCACCCTGATTCTACCCCGAATTAAAGGAATACTGGGTTGTAAAAAGGTGTTTTTGTCTTTTAGATTTAATTTTGTCTACTTCTCTTTTTCCATACCAAATGTGATTAAAACTATATCTTATTGAAAAAATAGAAAAGTTAGATATTATCCAGGTCCCATTTATTTGAGGGCTACCTGGAAGCAACACTCAAGAGCCAGTGATGCACTGCTGGCCTTCCAAATATCTACATGGTTTTAAAACAATACCAAACAATGTTTCAGAGTATTGTGTGCAATCAACAAGTAACTGTCCTTTCAATTTTTAAAATGTGATGTTATAAATGGGTGTTATATCCAGGGGTGAGGAACAGGTAGCTCTCCAGATGTTGCATAAACTATAACCTGCAGCAGCCTTAGCCAACACAATCATTGTTGAGACTTGGAGCAGTCATGCATCTAAATCTAGAGAGGGAAAAGTTCTTCATTTCATGCATACCTAACTGGTAAAAATTTCTCCTGAACAAGCATGGGGATTATTTTGCCAGCCATGTGAGTATTTGGTCTCATATTTCATCTAGATAAATAATCTCCTTTTTCAAATAAAAAAGGAGATTATTATATATGTCAGTATAATCACATCAGCAGATGGAAACAGCTAGCTCTCCCGAAAAACTGGTAAAAAATTGTGTAAACTTTCAAGCTGCAAATTATCCTACACAGATAACATCTCTGGAAGGTTGAATGGGTTAAGTTAAGAGATTGCATTTATGCACTTTGCTACAAGCCTTAACATGGATTATTTGATTTTAGTTTATTGTGGTTTATAAACACAATCTTGGTTTGGGGCAAAATGCATGTGTTTTCAAATTGTGTTCTGAGAACTTGATGGGGCTCTTAGACTTAACATTTTAACAGAAAGTTCACTCAAAGTTAGCCAATTTCAATAGAGCTTTCTCTCTTCATTATGGCTTCTAGGAATTCGAGTGTGTTAACTGATTGGCTCCACAATCTAAAAAGTTGGAAGACCTCTAGCATGATGTGTGGCCCAAGCCAACTGATTTAATAAGACCATCTTTAGATAAAGCATGCTTTAGTACAATGCAGAAAGCCAGCCCGCACAATAAAATATTTTGAGCTCTACTGATGTTGATGGTATTGTTACTGCTTGGATGACCTAGATGTTTCAGAGTGCATCTTCCAAAAATGGAATGGTGTACTTCAGAAAGTTGTTGAGAATCTAAAGTCAGATTGCTACATCGATGGATTCCCTGGATTCTTTATATTCTCTCAATTGTTCATTTTGCCATTGTTTTCTGGGGGAAGTAAAAATAATTTTAAATAGTTTTTAAAAAGTGTTCAAAAAGAATCAGAAGAAAGCAATACCCTCCTCCCCCTTATCTAACTTAGAGGTGGCTACATGAGAAGTAGCAGATTTTTGTTGCTTGCACTCCTTTCGTACCTCTCGTTTAGGATTGTGCTGTGTGAACGATCCAAAAGTTTCCGATTTCCAGTGAGCAGAGTGTGATTATTTGATAATCCTTCTATCCTGAAACTTTTCAAAATACTAATTCTGTCTTCTGGCATACTGATACAAATAATACCAAAGAAAACTTTTCTTCTAATAATGTTTAGATAATAATAATTACTTCTTTCCACAACAGAAAGTAAAATAAGTTGTGCAACTCAGAAAACCATCTTTTTTTTTTTTACAGTTAAGTAGATGCTTTTGCTCTAAGAGTGTAAGGCAATCTGTCTCTCTTTATTCTTTTTCAATTTGTAAGTTGCCATGGTTAAATAAATCTGAACTGGGGTAACTGATTACCATATGCAGATTTTTCTGCACTGACAGCTTCTTTTTCTCTCCCCCCCCCACCTTGGGTCGGTCTGATTTTTATTCCACCTTTCTTCTCTCTCTCTCTCTCTCTCCCTCTCTCTCTCTCTCCCTTCCTCCCTCCCTCCCTCTCTCTCTCTCTTTTCTGCATGACGAAGCCAAAACATCTCCCAAACAAAGATTCCAGGTAATTGCTTCAGGCATAATCGGGGAGAGGGAAGGAAATGCCCTGTTAAAGATCTAAACTGTAGCTGGTGGTTCCTATTACCCCCTTTTCCAACTCAGCTTTTTAAAGTTCCTCTGGATGATGAATCTAGACAACAGAATCCATATCAACAGCCAGCGGTGGAATAGATATGTTGAACTTTTGTTGCTCTTTGACATTATAAAAAAAAAAAAAACCACCAGTGGGGAGAAAATATTGACAGAAAGGCTGCATTCCGGCTGATATATTCTCTTCTAGACAGCAGATCCAGTGTGTCTGCTAGGGAGCAGTGTGCTGGAGTTGGATTTAGTAGGAAAGAAGGTGTTGGTGTGGGTTGGTGTCTTCGTAGAAGGCAGAGATCAGAGGTAAGCAAACTGTTTCCGTGTTCTTGTTGGGTTTGAAAATGTTTTCTTTTTCAACCTTAATGCTAAGAGGAAGCGGCATCAAGGATGCCTTAGATATGCTTCATGGATCCCTGTATTTAATTTGCATTAGGAATGCCTGATTTGTAAACAATACTTCGTCAGGGATTCTTCTCAGCTTTTCAAAGAAAACGAAGCAGTCAAGTTAGCAGGGTTTGTGACATCATGTTTAGTGCAAAAATTGAATGCCAAGCTTTACTGCATATGTACCAAAACCTCCTTTTCTTAAATGGTTGGCTATGCTGTTCTGTAGATAATGCTGTATTTGGATGTATTATAGAAGGTATGTTTTGACTGTAGTTCAAATATTAGAAATTGTGTTTAAAACCACAGTGTTTTTTTTAAACTATGACTTTAGAATAGAAGCTCCAAATGCTGGATAATTAAAAACAGTAT